GAATGAGAACACAGGGAAGAAAAATAATAGGAGAAATTTTATTGGTGTTAAAGATGCCTGGGTTCATACTAAAAAGATCTGCTGAGAGAAGGTAACATTTAATTTTTTAAAAACTACTGACACAAATCAAAGCTAAGGGTCCAAACACCAAAGATAACAAAGAAACTCTAAAAGAGTTCAATTTATCTCTGTCTACTCAGAGCTTCACCCACACATATAAAACTTACTGATGAAAACACATGCATTCAGATTGGTCCCTCTTTAGATTCATACTCAAATGGGCCCTTAGTGCTGCTCAACTATCATTTTATATTTCTTTAGATCATTTACTCTCCCACTATCCGTGACAACTATCTCATACTTTCTCCTCCTTGATCACCAAAACTGCCAGCCCTTTTCTTAAGCTCCACTTCCTACATTTGACTGAGAAATACACGCAATCAAAAGCAAATGCCAAACAACTGAAGAATGCATAACGTTTTCAAATGAAGCTGGAATATTTTAGAAAGTAGACCACATGTTAGGCCATAGAATTATCAACCAATTCTTAATGAAATCATACAAAATATAATTTGTACTCAAAACATAAACAATGGAACAAGCAAACATTTTATATATTTGGGACCCATAATATTGACTCAATGTTGCATAGACCATAAAAAATTTATATAATTCTTAAAAGTATTCAACAAATAGGAACACTGAAGAATATTGCATAAAAATGTGAAACTCAGCTTCACCATTACCCATTCATTTTATTCTGTGTAAACAGTTTGATAAGAATTCTCATTATTAGGGCCAAGCATGGTGGCTCATGCCTGTAATCCCAGCACTTTGGGAGGCTGAGGTGAGCGGATCATTTGAAGTTAGGAATTCCAGGCCAGCCAGGCCAATGTGGTGAGACCCTGTTCTCTACTGAAAATATAAAAATTAGCCGGGCTTGGTGGCGCACGCCTGTAATCCCAGCTACTTGGTAGGCTGAGGTAGGAGAATTGCTTGAACCTGGGAGGCAGAAGTTGCAAGAGCCAATACCACACCACTGCAGTTCAGCCTGAGCGACAGAGTGAGACTCCACTTCAAAAAAAAAAAAGACAATATAATAATAATAATAATTCTCATTATTAGGCTGGTGCAAAAGTAATTGTGGTTTTTGCCATTAAAGTATGAGCAAAAATGCAACTACTTTACTTCCAACCTAATAAAAAGTATATTAAGTTGCAAAATAGGACATATTTTGCATTCAATGATTACTTAATATTTTATAAATTTATGCTATTATTAATACTGCAACAACAAAAAAAAAACTCATGTATGCATTGAAAAATGTGAAGTTCTGCATCTGAGTTAATGGAAATTTGCCAATGGCACCTAAATTAAAAATCTCTCATGGAAAATATAACCACTAACAAAAGTATCACAGCATATACAGAAAAAAAAAAACTAGAAACCCCGATATATTTGTAAATTAATCAATATACTTTCATAGAACCCATGGTACAAAGAATAACTTAAAAAATATTTTGAATCAATAATGAAAATGAGTAAAATGCAGTAAAAGTGTATACTAAGATATTCATAATCTTAAATTCATACACAAGAAGAGAAGGCTGAACAATGTTATTAAATAAATTTTCATTTCAAGAAGTTGTGAATGGAACAACAAATTAAGTCAAAAATCATAAAAATGAAAATACTTAAGAGCAGAAATCAGAGAAAAAAGAAAAGAAAATAAAAGCAAAGTAAAAAGTTGGCTTTTTAAAAGCATTAAAATTGATAAAACACTAGCACTGATCAAGAAAAAAAGAAGATAAAACATAAATTAACAATATTGGGAATTAAAAAGTAGATATTACCAGAGCTTACAATATTGAAACATATAAAAGACAATAGGAATATTCTCCAATTTAAAAACAAATGAAGTTTCTTTTAAAACAATTTACTAAAACTAGCACAAGAAGAAATATAAAATTTCAAAAATTTTATATATAATTGATATGGTTTGGCTCTGTGTCCCCACCCAAATCTCACATTGAATTATGATCTTCAGTGTTAGAGGAGTGGCCCGGTGAGAGGTGACTGGGTCATGGGGTGGATTTCCCCTTTACTAGTCTCATGATAGTGAGTGAGTTTGCATGAGATCTGTTTATTTAAATTTTTGCAGCATGTCATCCTTTGCTGTCTCTTTCCTGTTGCTATATGAAGATGTACTTGCTTCCCCTTCACCTTCTACCATGATTGTAAATTTCCTGAGGCCTTCACAGCCACGCCTTGTATACAGCCTGTGGAACTGTGAGTCAATTAAACATCTTTTCTTTAAAAACTACCCAGTCTCAGATAGTTCTTTAGAGCAATATGAGAACAAACGAATACAGTAATTTAAAAATTGAATATACCATTTAAAACTTTTCCACATAGAAAATTTAATGCCCAGTGACTTTGCTGGTAAATTTTTCCAGCTTATACAAACTCTCTCAGAAAATAGAAAATAAAAAACACTTCCCCACATTCTTAAGAGGAGAGTACAAACATGATACGAAAATATATAAGGACATGAAAAAGGAAAAAAATTACACTGGAATCTCTCTCATAAACATATTTGGGGAAAAAATGCTAAACAAAATACTAGCAAATTAAATCCAATAATATTTTAAAAGAATAAGTCTTGACCAAATGAATTTACCCCCAGAAGTGCAAAGTTAACATTTAAAAATCCATCATTATACCAGATTTAAAAACATGTGCACAGCAAGGGAAACAATTAACACAGTAGAGGGACAACCTATGAAACAGGAGAAAAGATTTTCAAGCCATCCATATGATAAGGATATGATAAGGATAAATAGATAAGAAATGCAAATAACTCAAAAGCAAGAAAACAAGTAACTGATTAAAAAATGGACCTGAACAGATATTCCTCGAAGGACAATACAGGCCAGGTGCAGTGGCTTAACCCTGTAATCCCAAAACTTTGGGAGGCCAAGGTGGGAGGATCACTTGAGCCCAGGAGTTCAAGACCAGCCTGGGCAACATAGTGAGACCCTGTATCTAAAAAAAAAAAAATTAGCCAGGCATGCTGGCACATGCCTGCAGTCTCAACTACCCAGGAGGCTGAAGGAGGAGGATCACTTGAGCTTGGGAGGTCAAGGCTGCAGTGAGCTATGATCACACCACTACACTCCAGCCTGGGCAACAGAGCAAGACTCTGTCTCCAAAAAAAAAAAAAAAAAAAAGACAATATGTAAATGGACAACATGTTCATGAAAAAATGTTCAACATCAGTGAAAGCAAATTAAAACCACAATGAGGTCTCACCTCATGCCTGTTAGAATGATATTTATCAAAAAGATGTAAGGATAACAAGCATTGGTGAGTATGTGGAGGAAAAGAAACCCTTGTATACTCTTGGTGGGAAAATGTAAATTTTTACAGTCACTATGGAAAATGAATGGAGGTTCCTCAAAAAATTAAAAATGGAGGACTACCATATGATTTAGCAATCCCACTTCTGGGTATTGGAACTAAAAATAATGTCAAAGCAATATCTACACTCACATGCTCTTTGCAGCATTATTCATAATAGCCAAGATAAAGAACCTAAGTGTCCATCAATAGATGAACTGATAAATAAAATACAGTATATGTACACAATGGAATATAATTCAGCCTTAAAAAAAAGAAGAAAATCCTGTCTTTGGAACAACATGGATGAACCTGGAGGACATTATATTAAGTGAAATAAGCTAGGCACAGAAAGACAAAACTGTATGATCTAACTGATCCACAGAATCTAAAAAAGTAGAACTCATAGAAGCAGAGAGCAAGTAGAATAGCAGTCACCAGAGGCTGAGGGTCCCATCAGGAAGAACGGGAGATGTTGGTCAAAGGATACAAAATTTCTGCTAGATAGGAGGAGTAAACTGAAGAGATCTATTGTACATCATGGTCATTACTGCTAATAACAATATATCATATCCTTGAAAATTGCTAAGAGTAGATTTTAAGTGTTCTCACCACAAAAAAATAAGTATGTGAGGTGATACATATGTTAATTAGACTGATTTTGCCATTCTGCAATGTACACATATAACGAAATGTCATCTTGTACACCACATATACAATTTCTATGTAATTTAGAAAATTTTTTTTTTTTTTTTTTAAGACAGAATCTCGCTCTGTCGCCCAGGTTGGAGTGCAGTGGCGTGATCTCGGTTCACTGCAAGCTCCGCCTCCTGGGTTCACGCCATTCTCCTGCCTCAGCCTCCTGAGTAGCTGGGACTACAGGCGCCCGCCACCACGTCCAGCTAACTTTTTGTATTTTTAGTAGAGGGGGTTTCACTGTGTTAGCCAGGATGGTCTCGATCTCCGGACCTCGTGATCCACCCACCTTGGCCTCCCAAAGTGCTGGGATTACAGGCGTGAGCCACCGCCCCCAACCACAAGAAAAAAATTTTTAATAGTCAATATATTTTACATTATAACTATGAGAAAACACAACATATGATTATTTCAATAGATGCAGAAACTACCTCTAATAAAATTTAACCAATGTTCATGTTTTTAAAATCTCAACAAACTAGGAATTCAAGCAAACTTCCTCACTCTGGTAAAGGGTAAGAGTAAAAAAACTTAATATACTTAATGGTAAAATATTGATCTTGTTCTTCTAGAGTTCAAAAACTTAACAAGCATATCTAAAATCATGATTTCTATTCAACACCATAGTGGAAATTGTGGTTAGTGCAATAAGGCAAGAAAACTAAATCAAAGGTATAATGATTAGAAAGGATAAGTAAAATTGTCAGTATTCATAGATGACATGTCTGTCTATGTAGGAAATTTACAAGAATCTACCAATCAGTAAGTGAATTTAGCAAAGTCACAAGATACAAGACCAATATATAAAAATCAACTGTATTTCAGTATATCAGAAGCAAGCAATTTTTTAAATGAACATTTAAAAAGAGTATCATTTATAATAATAACAAAACATCGAATACCTAGGAATACATTGAAATATCTGTAAAAACTATGCAATAAAAACTATAAAACATTTCTTCAAAAAATAAATGCTAGCTAAATAAGAGAGGGATAGACCATGCTGATATAAGAATATAGAAAAACTCGAAGTGTATCTGGTGAGTGGGCTGGAGCCCTTGTCTGGGCCGGAAAAAAAAAAAAGCCCTCCGATCCATCTTTGAGTTGCTTCTCTTCCTTTTTTCTCTCCGGTTTCTCATCACTCCAACCAGCCGCGACCATGCCCAGGAAGAAGGCGGCCTGGGAGGAGCCGAGCTCGGTCAACGGCACTGCCCGCGCCGGGCCCAGGAAACGCGGCGGCCCAGCGGGCAGGAAGCGCGAGCGGCCCGAGCGCTGCAGTAGCAGCAGCGGCGGCGGTAGCAGCGGCGACGAAGACGGCCTGGAGCTCGACGGGATCCCCGGCGGGGGCAAGCGCGCGGCGCGGCCGGCGGCGGCAGGCAAGGCGGGCGGTGCGGCAGTGGTCATCACCGAGCCCGAGCACACCAAGGAGCGCGTCAAACTTGAAGGGTCAAAGTGCAAAGGGCAGCTTTTGATTTTTGGGGCAACCAACTGGGACTTGATTGGTCGAAAAGAAGTGCCTAAACAGCAAGCTGCTTACCGCAATCTCGGTCAGAATTTGTGGGGGCCCCATAGATATGGGTGCCTGGCGGGGGTCCGGGTACGGACAGTGGTCTCGGGCTCCTGTGCTGCACACAGCCTCCTCATCACCACGGAAGGGAAGCTGTGGAGCTGGTGTCGAAATGAAAAGGGGCAGCTGGGACATGGTGACACCAAGAGAGTAGAAGCCCCCAGACTCATCGAGGGTCTCAGCCACGAAGTGATTGTGTCTGCAGCATGTGGGCAGAACCACACCTTGGCCTTGACGGAAACGGGTTCCGTGTTTGCTTTTGGGGAAAACAAGATGGGGCAGCTGGGCCTTGGTAACCAGACAGACGCCGTCCCCAGCCCCGTGCAGATAATGTACAACGGCCAGCCAATTACCAAAATGGCCTGTGGGGCTGAATTCAGTATGATAATGGACTGCAAAGGAAACCCCTATTCCTTTGGGTGCCCTGAATATGGTCAGCTGGGACACAACTCAGATGGGAAGTTCATCTCCCGGGCACAGCGGATAGAGTATGACTGTGAACTAGTTCCCCGGCGAGTGGCCATCTTCATTGAGAAGACGAAAGATGGACAGATTCTGCCTGTACCAAACGTGGTTGTGCGAGACGTGGCCTGTGGCGCTAACCACACGCTGGTCTTGGACTCCCAGAAGCGAGTCTTCTCCTGGGGCTTCGGTGGCTATGGCCGACTGGGTCACGCAGAGCAGAAGGATGAGATGGTCCCCCGCCTGGTGAAGCTGTTTGACTTCCCTGGACGTGGGGCTTCCCAGATCTATGCTGGTTACACCTGCTCCTTTGCCGTCAGCGAAGTGGGTGGTCTGTTTTTCTGGGGGGCCACCAACACCTTCCGTGAATCTACCATGTACCCAAAAGCAGTGCAGGACCTCTGCGGCTGGAGAATCCGGAGCCTGGCTTGTGGGAAGAGCAGCATCATTGTGGCCGCCGACGAGAGCACCATCAGCTGGGGCCCGTCACCGACCTTTGGGGAACTGGGCTATGGGGACCACAAGCCCAAGTCTTCCACTGCAGCCCAGGAGGTGAAGACTCTGGATGGCATGTTCTCAGAGCAGGTCGCCATGGGCTACTCACACTCCTTGGTGATAGCAAGAGACGAAAGTGAGACTGAGAAAGAGAAGATCAAGAAACTGCCAGAATACAACCCCCGAACCCTCTGATGCTCCCGGAGACTCTCCGACTCCACACCTCTCGCGGCAGCTGTCATTTCCACGTGCACTGGGACGGGAAGTCCAACGAGGAATTGAAAAAGGCAAAAGTTGACCGAAGGTGCATTTTTGTTTAGACTCCCTGAGGTTCCGTTTTACAAATGATCCAACGTTAACTACCTTTTTTTCTGTATGCTTTCCAAAGTCCCTTTCCCCCTTCATGTCGAATTAAAACACTTGCTCATAGTTGACTTATCATTCCTACAAAAGAGGCCGAAACTTTGAGCAATCTAGGTTGTTTTTGTTTTGTTTTTTTTCCTTTCTTCCTCTCCTGAATACACTCCCCAAAACACCCCTTTCCAGTTATAATTAGCATCGTGATCCAAGCGGATGCTACACGGAAGAGGAATCGCCATTTACTCGGAAAAAATGTCCCTTACAGGAACCGGCAGCAGACAGGCAAAGTCGCCGGCCCGCCTCCATCCCAAATCACGCTCGCATGCTTCGGAAGCATCCGGGTCACTCCTTTCCCGCTTTTTCTTGCAGATCGGCCTAGGCCGGTGTTGATTCTGTTTCTCCCCTTGGCTGCCTGTACGCCCACAGCCTTCTGGCTGCGACATTAGAGAATCGGCCGTGTCCCCCCTGGTGGGGGACTGGGGGTCTGTGTTTAGCCATTTATATCTACTCTAGCTGTTAAAGAAGTCCAAATGAAAATCAGGTGACTGTGGAACCATGGGGACTTGCGGGTGGGGCAGAGGTGGGAACATTTGTATCAGTTGAGTTAGCTTCGTGGCTCCCTGTGGAGCCAGGGCTGAGCCTTGTCACGTGCATTCGCCAATTAGAGATTGATCAGCCAGCAGTCAAGTGCATTCTCCAGTCCTTGCAAGAAGGATCAGCCCTTTCTGTACCAGCCTCGATCGCCTTGTGCTTTGGTCTCCTTTTCTCCCCCGCCTGGATCCTGCCTCGCGCGGGCCGTCCTGTTGCTGAGACTCGGGGTACCGTTCTGCTGACCCAGCTCCCTTTAGTCACGTTTGCTTGGCTCTGGTACCAAATAGTTGGGATTACCGAAGAGTCCCCTTCCTCGCGTGTCAGCACGGATGCTGTGACTGCCACCTGCGTCCCTGTCAAGTGCCCGTGCCCGAGCTCGCTGCTGTGTGCGCTGCGCTGAGTGAGTTATGAGGTGCCTTTCCCGGAACCCTCCTCTCGCCTGGACCCAAGAGAGGCGACAGCTGTGGCTGGGGCTCTTGGTTTCCAGAGGGTCTGGACTGGTTTGGGTGCTTTAAAATAGATACTTAGTTCAGTGGTGCTTATGGGGGAGATGGGACTAGAACTTAAATGTGAGACTTGGGTGGATGGGAAAGTTAAATATTGGTCTCTTCAAGTTTTTTTTTTTTCTCTTTTGCTATTGTTACCACTTGTCATCGTCTCCATGTTAAAATGCCAAAAATGATCTAGTTGTTGCTTTTTTCCCTATTTTCCACCCTAGTCGCTCCTTACCGTGACTCCTGCCCTTGGAGGGCACGTAGCAGTGTCTGTCCTGCCAGTCCCAAGGCCCTGTGGGAGGAGACTGGCCTGCATCTCTCTGAGACTTAGTCTGACGCCGCGCGCATCTCTTGTTCTGTGTTCAATCAGTAGTCCAGGGGAGAAGCTTCTGCCACTTCAGAGCTTTGCTAAACTAACCCAATTTGTCCAAATCACCCCAGAACCACCATCTCTGACTCAAGCTTCCATGCGACAGCCTGATCCGTTTCCCTGGACAGGTCTCTTTCCTGGAACGCAGCCCAGGCACCTGTGCTCCTGGCACCTTTGAGGTCTCTCCTTTGAGTTGTGGCCACCAAGAGAGTTGAGGACGCAGCACCCGAGGTCCCAGCCTTTGCAGGAGCCACCCTGGGCGGAGCTGGACTTAGATCTTCGGTGGCCTCCTATAAAGCCGCAGCCAGCCTCTTCTAGAACTAGCCCAGGGACTGGAGCAGGAAAGGACCTTCGAAGCGAAGACTGCCTTGTCCCGCACTTCTTCCGGCTTCGATGGAAAAAATGGGCTTCCTAATGGGTTAAATCCTTTAAAACAAGGAGTTGGGGGGGAAGGGTGTCGTGCACTCCTAGAGAAAGGTACACAGTTGCCCGGCTGGGAACGTGCTTGGCGCTGACCCTGCGGGCATCTGACTGGTCTTCCAGCTCAGGAAAAAGAATTTGAAAGAGGCTTAGCGTGAAGGGGAATCAAAGAGGAGGTTGTGATTTGGTCGAAGGTGCCTGGTTTAGTGCTGTAATTGTCTTATTATTTTTTTATATATATATATTTCTTGGAGTAAACATTTTAAATAAACAAACAAAAAAAAAGAATATAGAAAAACTCAGTACGGTTCAGATGTCAATTCTTTTCCAAATTAATCTATAGATTCAACCCACTTCCAATTAAAATCCTAGCAGTTTTTGTGGAAATTTACAAGTTGATCCTAAGTCTGAAAAACAAAGGATTTATAATAGCCAAAACAATCTTGAAGAGTAAACTAAGGATTTATATTATCAGACATCAAGATTTATATTAAAGATAGAACAAGTAGATTGGTATTAGCACAAAAATGAACAAATAGACAAAAGGAACAGAATAGAGTTCAAAAAAATATACTCACATACAGTTAGCTAATTTGGAATAGATGTGCCATTGCATTTCAGTGAAGAAATATTGGTCACTTCAAAACATGTTGCTTAGTCAATTGGCTATTCATATGGGGCAAAAAAATAACCTTAACCTCTACTTCATACCATACACAAATATTAATTTAAGATGGAAAACAGACCAATGTGACCACTCTTAAGCAGGATATGAAAACACTAACCATCAAAGATTTATAAATTAGACTTCTTAAATATATATGCACACAATAATAGTTTCCAATTACATGAATCAAAAATGTAAAGAGGGAAATAAAACAACTATTACACTAAAAATTTTAATACTCATTTCTCAGGAATTAACAAAAAAATTTTTTTAAATCAGTAAAAATAATGAAGACCTAAACATCAACCAACCAAACATAAATGACATTCGCAGAACACAGTGCCCAACAACTGCAGAATATACATCCTTTTCAAGTGTTCACAGAACATTCACTAAGTTATACCATAGGTTAGTCCATAAACCAAGTCTCAATAAATTTGAAAAGATTGAATTCATATGAATTATATTCTTGGCCATAGCAAAACTGAATTAGAAATAAATATAAAAAAAAATCTAGAAAATCTCCCAGTATTGCAAAATTAACATGGTTCTAAATAATCCCAGATTCAAAGAAGAAATTAAAAGGGAAATCAGAAATTATTTTCACCTGAATGATAATGAAGAAACAATAAAATTTGGGGGAATACAGCTAAAATAGTGGTTAGAGAGAATGTACAGCTATAAGTGCTTATGTTGGAAAAGAAGAAAGATATGAAATTAATTATGTAAGCTTTCTAGGTAGCTAGAAAACAAAACCAGAGAATGAAGAAATAATAAAGAACAAAAATTACTAATACATAAAACAATAAAAATCAAAAAAACCACAACTTTGTTTTTAGAAAAGATTAAGAAAATTGATAAACCTCTAAGATGATGAATTTACAAACAGAAAAGAACACATATTACCAATAACAGAAATAAAAGCAGGACATCAGTACAGATTTTATAAACAGTAAGTGGATATAAAAGGATAGGAGCAACTTCATGCCAATGACTTTAACAAGTTAGATTTGATGAACAAATTCCTTGAAAGACAGAAATTACCAAAACTGACATAGGAAGAAACAGAAACCTTGAATAGTATCACATCTCTTCAATAAATGGAATTCTTCATTAAAAACATACTCACAAAGAAAATTCTTGGCCAAAGTGACATCCCTGGGAAAGTCTGTCAACTATTTAAGGAAAAAACAGTACTGATTCTGTATAAACTCTTACAGAAAACAGGGGCAGAAATAATTTCCAAATCATTTTGTGTGGCCACAATTATCCTAATACCAAAACCTGGCAAAAGCATATCACACACACACACACACAAAAAAAATTACAGGCAAATGTTTCTCATGAACATAACAAAATAATAGAACATAGAACCAGCAGCATATAAAAAGGTCAGAACTTCATCACCAAGTGGGGTTTATTCCAGTAGTACTGGTTGCTTTGACATTTAAAAATGAATCAATGTAATTTACCTTATTAACAGAATAATGGAGCAAAACCATAAGATCGTCTCAATTGTTGCATGAAAAGCATTTGACAAAAGTCAACACCAATTCATGATAAAATTTCTGGAAATGAATTAGAAAAAGAAGGGAATTTCCTCAATAAAATAAAGATCATCTACAGACAACCTTCCATTACTTAATGATTACATATTGAATGCTTTCTCCATAAAATCAAGAACAAGGAAAGGACACTCACCACCACCATTTCTATTCAGCACTGGAGATTCCACCCAATGCAATTGGGTAAGAAAATTAAATAAAAGACACAGAGATTGAAAAGAAAGAAATAAAACTTTTTATTTGCAGACATGATTGTATGTATTGAAAATGCTGATGATTCTACCAAAAAATTACTAGAACTTATAAGTGAATTTACCAGTATCACAAGATACATCACAAAATAAACAAAACCAATTGTATTTCTACATACTGTACTAAGCATGTCTTTTTATTCTGTATTTTTGATGCTTTGACATCTTGGGAATTTGCTGACCAATTCCTAGAAACAGGAAAGAACCTGACAGTGAGGGCATCTTTTCATATGCAAACCAACCAATACCTTATCAAGTTCTTACCTGATGTTTATACATATCCCAACCACCTCCTTTATCCCGTTCTTACTTAATACCTGTATAAATATATCAAACAAGATGGTCTCTCCAATACACAAAGAGCTCCACTAACTAATTTTTTTAAAGCCACTGGAGAAATTACAGACATATTAAAACCTTCCACTAAAAAAATGTTTTGAACATATATGGAAAATTTATAAAAATTGGCCATGATGAAACATAAGCTCAAAAATTTTAAAAAGAAAACTCCTAAAAGTTGGCATAACAGAGCCTAAAAATAATTTCAAAGTTGGTATAACTGTTACTAGAAAACCATCTCCACGATGACTATATATATGTCTTTATTTCATTTTTATGTTATGCTTCTCTTTATATTTGAATCAGTCCTTTAAACTACATAAACATTTTCAAGTGTTTGTAAATACCCTTTTAAAAATTACTGCTGTTAGCTGTTCTTTATGCTTTTCTTACTGGTCCCCTTACACATTCGAAATTGGACATTTCTGACTATTTCTTTGGTATATTTTATATCTAACTATGTCGGTTATTTCTATACCAGAAACTCTGTCAGATTGTGTACCTCCTTTCTAAACCCAATATCTAAGTGAAAAATGACAGAGGAAATAAAAGATGCATAAATTTGACTGCATATTATAAACACTATAATCAAAACTAAAAAAAAAAAAACCAGAAAAATATATACTACAAAGGTTTAATATATTTATACAAGTAACTCTTACAAATTAATATGACAATGAACATAAATAGGTATTTCACAAAAGAAATGAAAACATGGTCAACATAATGATGAATCAGAGAAGAGTACATAAAAATGAGATATTGTTTCTTCCTTAGCTGACTGGTAAACAAGAAGAATGCCAATACCCAGTGTTGGCAAAGATATGAGAAAAACAAGAATATCTAATAATTGTCCTTTCAAAAATACAAAAATTAGCCGAGTGTGGTGGCGGGTGCCTACAATCCCAGCTACTTGGGAGGCTGAAGCAGGAGAATCGCTTGAACTGGGGGAGGGGGCAAAGGTTGCAGTGAACCAAGATCGCACCACTTCACTCCAGCCTGGGTGGAAGAGCGAAACTCCTTCTTAAAAAACAATAAAATAGGCGACAGAGAAATAAATGTTTTTAAAAAATGATGTATGTTGGCTTACATTATATCCTTAGTACTATATTCTCTGCATAGCACAATATGGACACTGAATATGTGTTGGATAATTGATAATTAATAATTTATTTAATGAAAGATTGATTAAAGACTGATCTGTTGAGTAAGTGGGTGAGTGATTCACTGGGAGAGAGTGTGACTGACTGATAGACCAACCAACCAAAATGCTGAGTGAGCAAGTGACCAATTAAGAGAGCAACCAACCAAATGAGTTGTGACCCTCTGAGAGAGTCACAGAATAAATAACTCTTCAAATGACTGAGTGACTAACAAAATAAATGAGCTGATGAGTAATCATATTATGAGTCAGTGAGTGATCGATGACTGAGTGCTTGACGAATGAAAAAAAGGAATGAATGAATTTTTATCAGTGAATTGGAAAGATCTCCACAATACACTGTTGAGTTAAAATGGCTCAATTTAGAATGAACAGGATGATGCTAGTGTTATAAAACCGTATCTCAGTTTGTCACTATGCAGACATTCCGAATGATACTAAAACTTGTTAAGTGGCCAGGCGCAGTGGTTCACACCTGAAATCCCAACACTTTGGGAGGCCAAGGTGGGCAGATCACTTGAACTCAGGAGTTCAAGACCAACCTGGACAACATGGCGAAACCCCATCTCTACTAAAACTACAAAAATTAGCCAGGTGTGGTGGCTTGCACCTGTGGTCCCAACTACTCAGGAGGCTGAGGGTTGAGCCCAGGAGGCAGAGATTGCAGTGAGCGAAGATTGTGCCACTGCACGCCAGCCTGGGTGACAGAGTGGGACCCTGTCTCAAAAAAAGAAAAACTTGTTAAGCATGATGGTTAATACTGAGTGTCAACTTGATTGGATTGAAGAATACAAAGTATTGATCCTGGGAGTATCTGTGAGGGTGTTGCCAAAGGAGATTAACATTTGAGTTAGCGGGCTGGGAAAGGCAGACCATTGAGTGGGCACAATCTAATCAGCTGCCAGCAAATATAAAGCAGGCAGAAAAAACATGAAAAGGAGAGACTGGCCTAGCCTCCCAGCCTACATCTTTCTCCCGTGCTGGACGCTTCCTGCCCTTGAACATCAGACTCCAAGTTCTTCAGTTTTGAGATGCAGCCTGGCTCTCCTTGCTCCTCAAGCTTGCCAACAGCCTATTGTGGGACCTTGTGATCATTTAAGCTTATACTTAATAAACTCATATATATATCCTATTAGTTCTGTCCTTCTAGAGAACCCTAATACGTTAAGCAAGTTCTGTCAATCACAAGAAGCATTTGTAATCTTTTTTGCCCCTTTGATTAACGTCATTTTTAAATAACTGTTTTTATTCACTTGAATTTTTTATATGAAGAGACATTTGGCCAAAGCTT